TTTTCTGCCTGTTGCAGCGCTCTAGCGCTGCACGGCAAAAACGCATAAAAATGTAGTGAGAGCGACGCAAAACGGTTTCTAGAAAAGAGTATTTTTTGTTTGTTCAGGGGCCAGGGAAATCTTTTATGGATCTCTCATTTCTTTTTTGTGTCTAGTCGCAATTAAGTACTAAATCAGCAGCACTAGGATTAAGAGATAGCGACCCTTTGAAATTGTTCTTAAACATCTCGCTGTTATTTTTGAATTCTTGAATTGTGCTCTGCAGAAGGATCCAACAGATTCTGGATAATGCAAATTTTTCGGCAGTCCCCTTCCCGTCACCCTCACATTTTATTTAGATAGTTAAAAATGGCAGTATTTTCGATCATGTAGCTATGAACAAGGCATCGGCGAATAAGGGAATCGCTGGCAGCCACAACATCAGTTTGGAACAACGGGAAATGGTGACGGTGAATGCAGTGCATAATTTGGATTTGGTGGATGAGCCACTGTCAAGTGACAAAGATGCCAAAGCGAGAATTGCAAACAACGAGGCGTCAGAGAGCGGAGCCATTTATGGTAAAAATTTGGATGGAATAATGTCCGAGACAGAAGCAAGCAGTGAAACAGACGAAACTGATGACGATTATGATGGTGATGACGGAATTACAGTTGAGGAAGCGAAAAAACGCATTAGAATCACAGGTATAATTCAGTGGTACCTCCAAGCTCTGTAGGAAGGATGCATTCCGCGCTTTCTATCGGTTCCATTCTTATACGTATTAGAAACATTGATGAATAGAACCAAGTAGCACGTGTGGTCATGTGTTTTTGAGTAAAACTCGAAACAGTCAGATTCGTTGACAGCATGAGTGGTTGAAGCTTTACAGTTTAACGTGTGAACTTATATTAGCCGTGTCTTCAGTTTTTCCAGCATGTACCGGGAAAGATGCGCCATCTAAGGAGGGAGCGCTGCACTGTGAAGTCGCGTGAAATCTCAGTGTTCAGCATGTATGACTACAGTAAAGAGTTTCTGTCAGCTATTTTGGATTCTCAGCCTGCGGTGCGAGAGGAGGAGGAAAGGAGCGGAGGGTCGCAATCGCAGTGTAACACTTAGTAGAAAGTGTATCGGCTGCCGGTGCGACGATGAGTTCCTCCGC